TTTATTCCTACAGACTCTAGACATTTTGTTTTCTGACCACCTGCATTTCCTGCTCCAAGAAACTTGTAGTGACTGCTGAGGACTTGGTTAGTCCTCAGTTGAGTATTTTGATGGAATCAGTCCACTAGGGGGCACTCCAGGCTGCAGAAGAAGGATTTCAGAGGATTCCCAGAGAGTGAATAGTTAGAGACCAGAGGGTGTGAGCCAGTCACATCACAGACAAAAAGGGAGCAGCCTGTTCATCTCAGGTCTTAGCCCTGCTGTTCTACATAAAATCTCAGAAGGCTGAAGACCGTATCTATACTTATTTGATCCTTATTTGTAAACTCATTGGAAGTATCATTTTCTGAACACAGGTCAGGGAATTAAAATTTTACTTGTCATATACGAGGATGGAGAAAATATCTTCAGTACCTGGTTTAAATTTTTTGCTTTATTACACAAATTCTTAAAATATACTGATATAAATTATTGTAATACTCTTGGTAGCCAATCATGCTAGGCGAGCACTCTACAGTTGAGCCACAACTCCAGCCCTAGCCCATCTTTTTATATTATTTCTCTGAGGCTAGAAGGAGCAAGAATAAATGGGTAAGCAGAAAAGATGAAAATGAAGAACAAAGGTAAAAGGAGAAAAGGAGAGGCCAATATTGACTTGGGCAACACTGTGTGCCCTGCAGAGTGTCAGGGAAAGGGTTGGGGAACAGAAAGGGTGAGGTAAAGAATAAAACATAGTGGACATCATATGAATGTCCTCTCTTCTTTTAAATCGATGAAACTCTTGTTGGAAATGTTTTCAATGTAGCCCAAGATCTTCATTTCATGAAACGGTTCTTATTTCTTAATGCATGCTATCAAATAGTTTCCTTGACCAGAATTCTCATATTATTGATTTCTCAAATTCCCTGTTAATCACACTATATATGAGAAAAGGGCTTATTCTTCCAATGATTCTTTAAGGCCCACCTAATCCAGTTATGCAGTTAACACATAGGTTGTTCCCTAAATTGTCATCATCCTTCCTTACATATATTCCCACAAACTTCTCTTACTTATCTATTATAAGGAAAAAAAAATCACTTTTATCTTCCTCCACAGGAAACAAGGCCCCCAACACCTACACTGTCCTCACATAATTCTGCAGCCACAATTGCTATCTCCCTGGGCCACTGGGGGTGGAGCTCCCTGTTAGGGGAAGGACAGAGCTCAGCTGTGACTGGTGCTCAGGGAGTCAGGTGGAACCTGTTGCCTGGGAGATCAAGCTTGTCTGGCCTAAGACCTGACACCTGCAGAGCAGGGACAAGACCTAGCAGCCAGGCCAGCAGCCATGCAGAGGGGACTGGGGGCTCTGCTGGGGCTTCTGTGGGTGCAGCTTTGCTGTGAGTCAGGTTCCTCCAAGATGGGGTTGGGGGTGTTGTAGGGATGATGTTGTGAGGGAGGGCAGGGAGAGCTGGCACCAAGCCCCCTCCCTGTGCCCCATCCTCAGGGTGTTTCCTGGGATATTCTGCAGGTTTGTGAACTGGTCATGGATTCCCCAGTGATACCAGCTGCATTTGCTTTTCTCTTTCCAAGCAGGGGTGAGAGGGCAGCAGGTGGAGCAGAGTCCTTCAGCCCTGAGGCTCCAGGAGGGAACCAG